AGGGGGCACCCCCAGATGGAACTGGGGGGGGGTCCTACCCCACCCAACCCATTTAGGGGTGCCCAGGTGAGGGAGTCCCACTCGTTTTGGGGGCCCACAGGTGGTTTTGGAAGGAGTTCCCAAATTATTTAGGGAGGGGGTTTCCAGGTGATCAGAAAGTCCCACCCATTTGGGGGGGGGAGGTCCCCATTCTGTCCCACCCATTTAGGGAGCGCCTAGGTGATTCAGGGGGGTCCCCAGGTGGGTTTGGGGGGTCGCAATTTGATTTTTAGAAAACTCTCCAGGTGGTTTTGAGGGATCCCCAGGTGACTTCTGAGGGTGTCCCAGGAGGTTTGGGGGTCCTGGGGGATTTAGGGGGTTCCCAGGTGATTTTGTGGGTGCTGGGTCATTGGGGAGGGGGTTCCCAGGTGATTTTTTGGGTGCTGGGTCATTGGGGAGGGGGTTCCCTCCCCAATGATTTGGAGACTCCTGGATGATTTTGGGGGCCCACCTTGACCGTCTGCTCACGGATGGCCGGGTTGGAGTCGAGGAACCCGTGGGCAACGTGGGGGAAAATTTGGGAATCCACTGTGGCGTCAGGCAGGAACTCAATGAACTCCTCAAGCTGGTGGGGGGGGTGGCACGAGACCCCTGAACACCCCAGAGACCCCCCCCCCAAAACCACAGATCCCCCCCTTCAGCCTCCTCTGAACCCATGGACCCCTCCCCAGACCCCACAGAGCACCCCCATCCCTCCCAGTGCCATCCCAGACTGTCCCAGTCCTTCCCACTCCCTCCCAGCTCCATCCCAGTTCCCTCCCAGTCCCTTCCCAGTTCCCTCCCAGTGCTCCCAGTCACCAGCTGCAGCAGGCGCAGGCGCAAGCCCCGCTCAGGGGACGAGAAGAGCCGGACGAGGACGGGGACGATTCGCTCCTGGTACTCGGGGGGGTCCAGGACCTTCGCCACCTGCGGGAGCAGGGAGGGCTTTGGGGATCACTGGGGGGAGTTTGGGGGTCCCACCTGCAGCAGGGGGGGCAGGGAGGTTGTGGGTGGGATTTTTGGGGTCGGGGGGGTTATGGGGATATTTTTGGGGGTCCCACCTGCAGCAGGGGGGGCAGGGCACTGGCGTCAGCGCTGCCCAGCTCCAGGGCCTCGAGCAGCCGTGGGAGCAGCTTGTGGCGCCGGAAGGGCCCCGGGAGGGACTCCAGGAGAGGGGGCAGCTCCTGCAGGAAC